AGTGTGTTATAGAACAGAAAAACGCGAATACCTATACCCTTGTGGCCATATTTAGACCGGTTTAACGTATTTTCCCTAATTTGAGTGGCTTTCATTGCATTTATGGTTCTAAAAAGGCAGTAGAAATACTAGCCGAAAGTCCGAAACATGATGCCGGTTTTAAAAATACGTCAGTTGGATTGTACTATTAGTTATCTTGTAGTATAATCGCAAGGTATTTCGATATTATCAGGTACCGGTTTTGAACGAGTTTCTGACCGTCAGCCAGACGTACTTTGCGAAATGACGCTTTAATTTGTGTTTTTCTCACTGAATTTCAGTGGCCTTATAATTACAAATATATTCTTTAAAATGCCCGAACAGTTTCTTACTCACGTGCTAAAAATAACGTATACGTCGCATTTCATACCTAAAAAAGGTTATTTGTTTCGGTTTTAAAAGAAGTTTCTAATAATGTGATTTATGTAACAGTGAAATGTCCATTCATAGTGCATCGTATCTGTCTGCTTAGTAATGTTACTTATAAAGTATACAACATAGTTCTTATCCACCGCAATGTTAAAGTAGCTCACCGGAACAGGTTTTGATTCATGCAGACATTTCGGAGAGTTTGGCCGGCCCTCTATTTTCAAAGCTTCTACTGTCACGATCGATCAGAGTTTTGATGAACTGGCTAGACTTGTCGGGCATGAGCTGATAGCATTTTTTAATCGTTCGCTGCCTCGGTCATCGTATGAACGCTTTTTATGGATTGACAGCTGTTAGTGTTTCGTCCCCACGATTAATGATCTGGTTGGCCTGCTTCCTCTTCTGGTAGGTTCGTCGTTGGGCCGTCTTTGGTCACGTTTATTAGGTCCTGTACGATATTCTCTTTGTTTTTATGCACGCAATGTTGCAAAATATATCCGTCTGTTGATAGAGTTGGCATCTGAATATCATACCTCAAGCGTCAGCCGTTCCGCTTCCGGCTGTCTCGACTTAAGATGGTCGCTCCTCGAATGTCAAAAGTATGGGCAGTCTCCAGTATGGGTTGCAAGCTGTGAGTTTGGGTCTAGCTACCGAGTCGCTAGTTTGTGTTCATGTAAGCGAGTCTGCCATTTCGGTCCTGTTTCCCCGAAAAAGTTGTAGTCCCCATCATGGGAACATATTTGGTAGACAACTGCAAAGGTTTCAGTAGGAGGCAGTCTGTCCTTAGGTTGCATCACACGGTGGCGTATTATCGCCTGAGGTTGGTGGGCTTTGCATACTTTTGTGGGGTTGTAGCATGCGAGAGTCTGCCTCTGAGACTTTATTTATGTAGGGAATGGTCCTCCAGACTTCGCGTTGTTCTTTTGGCCGTCGTCTGTTCACTTGACACTGGCTTTGTTTGATAAAAGTGCTTGGGTATTCATTAGCTCGGAAGAAGTTGTGAATGTATTGCCGTTCAGTTCTTTTGTCAGCAATGTGTTTCAACTCTTTGGAATAGAGTACGGACGTAGTTTCGTTTTGGAGACAGGGCGTGATTTCTGTTGAAGTGTAGTATTTGCTTTGCGCTTGTGGCTTTTCTGAATATTGTCGTTTGCAGTATTCCAATTAAACACCGGCACCCAAGGATATGGAGGAAGTTTAGTTGGTTATTTCCTTCAACTTTCATCGTTAATTGCTTATTCGGGTCAACTTAGTTTAGTACTTCTTTGACGTGTTCAATTTCAGAAGTTCTGACTGACTAAACTGTCATCGACATAAGGAGTTCAAAACTGTGGTTTATATTCGGTGAAGTCCAAGTGTTCTCTCTGTTAAAAAACCACTTCATCAGTCGGGCCTGATGAGGGGAGCCCAGGGGAGTGCCTTTGTTTTTTTGTATACACTTCTGCACCAAATGCTAAATAAGTTCCAAGGCAGTGTTGTAGAAGTTTGCATAAATGTTCAGACTCCAGAGGCTTGTCCCTCTCGCCTAGCATTCGATTAGAATCCGTCCCATAACATCGCTATTTACTGTGAAATAGGGGCGAAAAGTGAACTAGCATCAAAGGATTCCCTGGATTCATTTAGCTATTATTTGAGATGTTTTATCCGTTCAGAGAACTGTTTGACAGAAGCTGCAGTTGTTGGTGAGCCTAGTGCCAGGAACTTGAGTTGACCAAACATCCATTTTGACAAACTACGAATGCAACCTAAGCGGTATGTTTTTGTGCACTCTCAGCAGACCTTAAAATCATGTAGGGACTGTGTCAACTAGTTTCATGGAAAACCGATCGCTGGGCGTGATTGCACCGTTTACTTCGAGTGTTGTCAGACTTTTGTTTATTTGGGTAAGCAGATGTTTCATTTCACTGACTGCTGAGGCTCAATTTAGCCAAAACAATTTGCCACTTAGGGAACGCACAGGCCAAGCCGTGTGCTAGTTAAGGGTTCAGAGGAAGGTTATGGACGGGGTTGTATGGGGTGGTCTCAGTTTTGATAATTACCTTCCGCGCATGCGTGCGAATGGTATATTGGATATCGTTAAATTTTTCACCAGCAGTTGTCAAGAAAATGATTAGTATTGGTCGACTTCTGTGTTTTATCATTGCAGTCTTTGTTGACAATTCTGACTTACCTATACCACTTCGAAGTCTCCTTTGCTGAAATGGAATTTACAGGAGGTTTGTAGGTGAAACATTTTGGTGCTGCGTTTTAGTCCAGGCAGCGATGGAAAAAGTGCAGTTGTGCGTCGATTAATAGAATCCAAAGGAAACATTTCTCCCCACGAAGTGCGGAGGGCTCAAAAAAAGCTCAGATTAGCAAAAGTGAGGGCTTTGGGATGAACACCTGGGAACTTAAAGTAGTTCACCGATACAGATTTTGATTCATGTTCTCCCAGACGTCAGCATAAATCGAAACCTGCTCCGGTGAACCACTTTAAGTTCCTAGGTGTTCATCCCGGAACTCTCACGTTTGCAAATGTGAGTATGCGATGCTTAGTGAAGTGTATGCTTTTCTTTAGACAGGCACATAAACCCTGAGTGCCAGATCGGGCTCAGAAGTGTTCTGCAATTAAAAAGATTTAAAACCGAAAGGCACCCTTTCGTCAAGCATAACATTTGAGGAAAACAAAAATTTGGAATCCAAAAGAGAGAATACATTTGTGCATGTTTTCTATAAAATATATTAGAATTGACAAGATACCGAAAATCAACAACAAAAATTAACACAACCGAAATGATAATTCTTACAAGCAGTCGGAAAAGAGCTCCGTCAAATGTCAGAATCCCGACTTGACTGAAATATCTTAGGATCATGGTACACGATAACTAATAGTATCATCCTGCCTGAGTGCTATGTTTGCAATGAAGACATATTAACTAATTTCTGTTAACATTTCATGAGATACCACCTCGACTTTGGTGATGTAGCGCTGAAGTAGACCACTAGGTAAAATTAGTATATCCACCCTTTTAGCGTTTTGACCGAGCGCGTCCGTCTATCCTTATGCCCGACTTGTACGCTTAATCAAAAACTGCCCGACTAACCAGTTAAGTGATGCGTTAGTCTTCAAAAAAAGCTTCCTTGTCCATGCAACCGAAACTATGTTTGAGGTTTAAGGTCTTTTAAAGTTCGGGATACCTTCCACTGTCCGACTTGCCCTACTGGGTTCCTCTGCTGATTTTATCTTATGTATTTTTCAAACACATTTCCCTGTCAGGGCAGGCTCATGATTCGATATTTTTTTACGCGCTGAACTTCAGTAAGCCTGAATAAAATATTCTCCCAGACACTATGAATTACTCTCCGTAATAATAAGTCTGGTAATAATTCCCCTAGACAAAGTCTTGGATCGTTTGTCGAAGGACACTTTTTTCCTCGTTCACGACTAACCCATCGTTCACCCTCCACTAGAGTTTTTTTCTCCGTTCAAACCGTACTTTTAAGGTCAAATACTTGGCAGTCATGGTAACAGTAAAATTTAGGGTCCACTACAGCTTATTTTTCACATAACTGTCTACTTACTTCGCAGCAGTAGACATGCTCTGCCGAATTATGGCCCTAGCTTGAGTATAATTTTTGTTTACTTTCGTTTTTCGTTTAGTTTATTTTCTCTTCCCCCACCAATTTAATCCTTATTATCACCTGTCCTGTATTAC